TTCATGCTGTTTTCCCTCTCTTGTCTGCTGGCATCCTAGTGTTTTTGCTAGGATTATTAGTGGTGATGATGTACCGTCTAGGGGTCATTCTTTCAAAGTCGGCTACAGTTTGATAGTAGTTTGCGTTAATTAAATGTTATTTATATATATATATATATATATATTTACGTATTGATTTGGGTGCTAGGTTATTAGTGGTTGGGCTTATCCAAGTGGCGTAAGGAAAAAAGAGACTTGAAGCCTTCCGAATAGACTTCCACAAGACTTTCCACAAGACTTCCACAAATGTTGCTGTTTGCTCTCATTAGCAAATATAATAACTCATAAATAACTGCATAGATTTTTGTCTCTGGATGCGAGATGTGTGCTCAAAGAGGGAAGCTTCCTTTTCCTAGTGTCATAGTGAAGCGGAGTGTAACATCTGCCGGCAGGGAGGGGAGAGGGAGGATGGAGCCTATATTAGAAGGGAAGTGGGATATGGAGTCTTTGGCCTCTGAGTCACAAGTCTGAATCCCGGCTGTGAGGGACTTTTCCAGGAATGGAAGTGACATGAACTGGTGCTGTCATTGCAGTCCCCTATGAACAGGAGCTGCTACCAGATGCCATCACTGCTCCCCTTCCTGGCTAAGATGTGTTTGGACATTAGCACCCCTTGCTCCCACTCCTAGAGCTGCTCTTTTCAAGTCAGGGTTGACTTGAAAGCAGACAAAGAGAAAAAGCTTACCTTATTTTTGCCCATATCTCAACCTCATTTTTGCCCGTATCTCATGTATTCAGTGGTCAGGAAATGTTGGGGTCCTGTCAGTAAGGTGCTTCCAAGAAAGTGGTACGAGAAGAAGGCTTCCTCTCCTGTTTGTTCATGTATGTGTAATGATTATTAATTGCAGTGGGTTTTGAGGCGCGTGTCAAGCCAGTTCTCATGCAGCTTTGTAGCATCCAGTACACCACCAAGAGCAGGGCCAACCCTCGCTGCGATCTGGAAATAATTTTTTGAAGTCCCAAGTTTGGAGTTACCTCTGCTGGATCCCATCCATGTGTTCCCCTTAGCATTTTTTAACTAGTGACTCTTAAGGACTTGCTTCATAAACCACATGATTTGTTTTCTGGCTGCAGGAAGCTGAAATGTTGCAAATCATGCTCTGCAGTGTGGGTCATGTTAAACTTACACTTTTCGATGCAGCCTGCATTTGCAGTCCATGAAATCAGTGGACATGTGGCATCTAACGAGAATAGGTCTGATGTGCCTAATGTAGACATCCCCAAAACTGAAAGGCTCAATACTACTGGCTGTTTCTGAAAAGTTTGGCTTACTGCCTACAGCCATTTTCAGCAAGTAGGAATGATGACATTGCTGCAGATTTTTGAGACTGTGAAGAACTAGCAAGGTGAACCTACAGCAAGGATGAATTTGCTAAAGGATCCATCTCGGAGTGGCAGAATCTCTTTGAAAAAAAGAAACAGGGATGGTCGAACCTTCCTGAAGCCTTTTGATTTACGTTCTGTGCGGCTAAAGTCTCAATGCTCAATATCTCAGCATAGTTGGCAGCAGCCAGATTTTGCTCTGGCTGCTGTAGCCCCAAATGCCGTTCCGTTCAGCA